AGCTGGTGATGTTGGTTGTGGCGGCGGCACGGGTAGTATTACAACCCATCACCCACAAAATGTTACTCGAAGCTGATGGGTTTAATAAAATACTATAAAATAACCCACGGTCAAACATTCATTTCAGTGGACGCAATCGAACAGATGGGGTGCTACACGTTGGCGTTCAAGAGAACTTCGGTTTTATCTGTACGATCATATCGAGGCCTTCATTAGTGAGAATACAAATCCAGTTTGGTATGCGCCTGCACAAGTACTATCCAACTTCTAACGCGGTACCTAACTTTGGACGACGAACGGCATAACAACATACAGAAAGCTGTCGGAGCCTTTATTTCGAGAAAGCTTGATTCTGGAGAATGTTTAATGTTTAATGCACCGAAATTAGTGAAGTATGTAACGATTAGCGAGAGACAAAACTAGATCGCTGGCGCTTAAATCGGGAGGGCGTTTCTCAATTGAAAACGTGAAGTGGCTAGATGTACTTGATCGCTGTCGCTTAAAGGCTGTTCAGCTGTTGTCTGAAAAATCAAAAGTGAGGTTCATCTTCATCTTTCGATCGAATGGTCGATAGTAGCGAAAATAAAATATGCATGAAACTTTGGTAACGTTTTACCGTAGGGAATGCATAGTATACTAAGAAGCAATCTATGACTCAAGGTCAACGCTTTTCGAAGCTCATGCCACGTTTGTGAAATGCGCGACTAGATCACAACTCTCTGCTTATATCAAGGTTTTGATAAGCATAACAAGTACCTATGTGTAGCCTAAAATTAGTTAGTTGAGATGGTAGTAGATTTAAAAGTCTCATACTCCTAATGCGGACCGATGATGGTTGGGAACGCGTCATGCAAAAGCTCAAACACGTCGAAGTGTAGCTTGTAAGTAAGCCTTTCGCAGCATGGTTGAAGTCCGCGAAGCGGAGTTTGTGCCACCTTCATCCTCACCAGTCGTCAATATTGCCACCAAAAGATGCATTCCACAAAGCGGGGTTCGGTTGCCTTTATTTTCTTTCTTATGCAGATCAGATCCAGGATTTGAACATGCTGATTATATGACCGAATCGCAAGACCTGGACCAAACAACCTCAACAGTGGATCATGGCTCAACTTGTGTTCTTGGATATGTTATCAGTTCATCTTTTTGCCCTACTGAGTGCTGGCAATGTGAAAGATATTCATGTGGGCCGACTATTTGGACGAGGAGACATTCTGCAAGGACAAATACTACATAGAAGCCCATCACTGTCTCACTATCACCCCCATAGTCGTTTCTAGAGGTTTTTAGTAAGCTACCACCTGTATCTATATATTATAGCTGCTCGCCAGAGTAAGACCTCAGATGTTGCTCATCCTTATATGTATGTGGTGAGTTACTGCATTCCATTCGTTTATGGAGACTACGTATTCCTCGAAACCAGCGCAGAAACTACAACGTCTGGGCCAAGGCGTCGTGGGCAACGACTACGCTAGACTCAGGTCGTGCTGTAGTATTAGTACGCCAACAACCGAGTATAATGCTTTGACCAAGGCGGCATTGACTTTCATATGTAAGATACTTCGGAGTAAGAGAGTTAATGAGTATCAATACATGAATTGTTCTGTGTCTAGTATTACTTAGTTGTTTCCCTTCCTGTCAGGATGCATGTAAGACTGAAATACTCGAGAAAGACTACGTTGTTAGTCGCTGCCTCAAGTGATGACCCATGGTGCGCCCCCAATGTGCCCTTGCAAGGTCTTCAGGGTGCCATGAATCCGAGGTTGCCTAGCTCCTTCATGGTAGCACACTGGGCTCCACGTGATGTAGTCGATGTAGCCTAACTGTACCATAGTACAGTGAGTCTTGACAGTGTCGGCTGCTCCGTCGCCACCCCCGACACCTCTGCCTCCTTCTTTAGGGCCTCGTCGGCAGCTTCGACGTCTTTAGGCACCTTCGCTTCAGTAGACTCTAGTGCGTGCGCCAGAGCTTCGGCCATTGAGGAAACCTTAGTCGCACAAGGGTCCTCGGCAGCCAGGCTCCGGTGCAGCTTTCATCTCGGTTTGATGCGCTTGATCCACCGACTCCTGCACCCCTGATCCTTTCCTCAGTCTGCTGCGCTTCGCCGGGCTCGCCCACTTCGCCACCTCCGATGCAGGTATCCTTATCCTGGTGCATGGCGAACAGCTGGAAGGTCTTCTCGGCACCGCTGTTAGACGTAACAAACTGCACCACGCCGCTGATCATGTGTCCATTTCCACGAGCTCGTAGCGTGGGGCAGCCTTGACACCATCGAGTTGGAGGTCTGGTCTGGAGCGGAGCGTGGGCGTGGGCGTGGGCACGCCGACATCCGTCTTGGGCTTGGCGTTCTTGTTGTCCCTCCCCGTTGTCACAGTATGCAACGCCGTGGCCGTCGTAGCGGACGATACAGCAACGCTGCGCTGGAGCACCGACACGGAGTAGCAGGAGTCCATGTCTCTGCTCAGGAGCTTGCATGCGGCGAAGCAGTGGGCCATCGCCTCGCTAGCCACCGCTGGCAGGCCGTAGTAGACGCTAGAGCACCGCTCGTGTTGAGCTTCTGTTGTCGGTCCGGCTCGTCGCGAGCGGGTGCTCAAGGCGTTGTAGTTGGCGGCATGGATGGGGAGGAGGATCGGTGCATGACATGCTGGGCGGGTAGAACTTGAAATCTCTCGAGGGTGCTTTGCCACCAGTAAACTCGTGTAGGGTACCGGTACGTTGCCGAAAGATAGCACATGTGATCCAATCACTGTCACGATATCGCCAAAGCTATGAGGTGCAAATCGAGGCGCTACTGTGGTCTGGTAATTCCACTAAAATCCTCCTCTACCAAAAGGTATTAGAGACACCAACAACACGCTAACCCGCAAAAGTAAGCGCTTATTGAATCAAAACCTGAAGACCAGGAACGATCCCTTACATCGGGTCGGTTGCAAGCGCCTCTGTGCACCTTAGGTTATCTTCGGTCAACCCAAAAACCTGTACCACTAGCCACGAGCTAAGGCTAGGATACTATGTAGCGCTTTCGCGCAACCCCCCTGCAGTCATTCAGAAAGGAAGGGTACCGGCGTGTTAGGCCTTATACAGGGGACCAAGGTAAAACATCGGTAGGTAGACTAATACACTCAGGGACACTCTAATCCCACACATATATACTGAACGATACCCTAATACCGTTCCTGCCTCTCCGGCCACACCAACTCTTGGCGCTGCCAAGGAAACTCTCGGTCAATGCACGATAAGCTCCCCGACAGGCATCCACACGCAGCCGAGCGTGTCCAGGCACTACAATAAGCTAGCTACACTTACCGAAGTCGGACTTGACCCTTGCTGGCTTTGGGGGAAGACTGTCTTTTTATTACTGAGTTTTCTGAGGCCCTGGGGGCCTCGTTCTGGCCATCCTATGACGAGTCCTATGTCCCTATACAAATATCTAGTGTGAACGATCGCAATAAGGCGATTCCGGACACATCAAGTGATGACCGCGGCTACACTAATAAGTGCGGCCGAAGTACGTAACTAAATGCATCTGTACCTAAAAGTGGGTACCATGAAGCCTCGTTCGGGGTTGTATTAGGACCCGACGAGGCTCCGGCCACTACCTGTCACTTCAACGAGGATAATGTCGCCAGCTTAACCAAAGCAGCCACTTCCATCTCGCGCTTGACTGCTCCTTGATTATTGTACCTTGATTCTTGGGCGACGGGCAATCGCTCCGGTAGTCTCCATTTTCCGATACCACAACTGCCCCCGCCTGGACACGAGCCTCAGCAACAGGCGAGCGTCTAGGCGCCTTCCGTCCGTCAACTTCATGGTTCATTCATTGCGCTTGCGCTTGACCGCTGCGACCGCCGCTCTCCTGGACCTTCAGTGTCTGGT